GATCCCCCAGCCCGGCGGCCAGGCGCTGCGGCAGGGGGACGTCTCCACCGTGGGGGAAGGCAGCAGTGAGGCCACTGAAAATCATCCAGGATGCAGGATTGTCTCTCTGCTGGCTTAGCAAGCAGGATGCTCCCCCGCCTTCCCCTCTGCCCCGCGTTCGTTTCTCGGAGAGCGCACGCAGATTCCTCCCGGTGCCCTCTGGAGGGACAGAACGGCAAGGCGCTAGGGGCTTTTGCAGGCAAAACACCAGGGTCACACGTGTTGGGCCCCACGCAGACGGCTGCTCGTCGCAATAGGGGGCTGAGCAGGACTTTGTTATGACTGCAGAGGGGCCCTGGCCGGAGCCGTAAGTGCTACCATCCTGCACTAACCAATAGCAAGGACCGGAGGGGGGTGTAAATATCTCACTAGAGCAAATGAGCAAACCCGGCTGTGTGTCCCCGCTCGCACCTCTGGGGAACAAGCCCCGGGGCCTCTATCTAGAGCCCTGACTGAGGATCTGAAAAGCGAAATGGACGGGGAACAGTGGAGCACAGCACGAGCGGAGGGAGAAACCCAAGGACTGGCCTTGGCCTTTTGCTCTACAGCTGCAGCAGCAAAGCCGATGCAAGTTTGCTAACTTACAGCGAGGATCACAGCCCAGTCTAAGAGAACCCGTCTGGCCCTTAACGTAGGAAACCCCGGAGAGGGGATACACAAAGGCCATGTGAGCCGCACCCCTGTAACGAATCCTCTAAAGTAAATGACGCCTTAGAAATGACCTGAGAAGAAATTCGGTTTTTTCACATAGCGAGCCAAAGGTTTGTAGCATGGGCAGCGTGTTTACATACTTACTTTGAGCGACGGGGGCCGGGGGGGGAGCTTAACTCAGACCTGGGACCCTAGGGAGAGGCCCCACCTCCTGGCCGGGATGCCTGCCCCCCCCTTATTTTCACAGGGCTCTGGCATTTGAGCCCCCAGCTTAACAAGGTCCTCTCAGCTGAGGGTTTGGGACTGGCTAAGCACAGCCCGGCTCCGCTCTAGTCACACAGGAAAGACAACAGTGTTGGTAACCGCATGGCACTGCCCTGCGTTCGGTCCTAGAATGATTGGTAGCCCCACACCGGCCCGAGTCTGCTGGCTCTCTGGGCATGGAAATCGCGTTTCCTCCTGAAGTCTCTGCCCCTCCCAGCTAGCTGTCCGGGGAGGACTCGTTCAGACCCTGCTCACATTACTAAATTGCTCCTTTATACTGATGCCGATCCATCGCGTAGCTGTACTCAAACCAGTTTCACTCGTGTTTGCATGGGGTTAGTTGAATCTCGTTATTTACTGGATTAAGATAAATTGGTATAAAGCGATTTTTAAATCCATTTAGTTACACCAGTGTGAGTTTTCTCCCATGAACAAGGCCTTGCCCATTGGCTTGGGTGGTGACCCCCGTGTGGAAGGGACACATCTCTCAGCCCCCAGCCTTGCTTCACCAGCATTGGACTTCACGAGCGTTGCTGTTCTCAGCCGTATCAAATACAGATTGGAAAATGATGGCTATGGATCCAAACCCTGACCCTCAGTGACAGATCCCTTCTCTCTCTCGTCTCCACCCTGCGCCAGCTGTTCCGACGGGTCGCGTCTGCCCTGCCCGGCATGGAGAGCATTCAAGAGAAGAGCAAAGAAGGAAGTATCCTTTTTTTTTTAAATGAAACTGCCTAGCTCTCCCATAGCACTGGTCAGCCACCGATCTCAAAGGTCAGTACGTTGTCCCCAGGGGAAACTGAGGCTCGTGCTCAGCCCTGCCCTGAAACACGCCCCAGTGCAACCAGCTTGCCCTGGGCTGCAGCGAGGGCTGAAAGAGCACAGTACCCGGACCCCCTGGCATCCTTGCACTGCCTTATGAGTGCAGGCTCGGAGCCTGCCGGGTGCCATGTGCACGGACGTGTGTGTGCCCGGAGCATAGGTACTCTTGAGCTGTGTGAGCTCAGGGTGTGCTCCAAGCCCATAGCTCGCACCCTAGCCCCCATGTGAGAGTTCTGTGCAAAGGCCCCGCATGGGCCTCTGAACCCATTTCTCCTGCAGCCCCCACCTCACAGAGCAGGCGGAAGCGAACGCCACCAGCATCTCTTGCTCGTTTCTGTCCCGTCCCCTGGCAGGGTGGGCTGTGAACGCCTCCCTCCCATGGGTGGGGACTTACTCGTGCAAGGGGCCACCGTGTGTGCCAGAACGGCCTGTTCTCCCCCTCAGCTACTCGTGCAGCCGCTATCTGCTAATCGGGAGCGGGAGAGAGTTCTCTTCCATAAACGGGGAGCTGGTCCCTTGAGAGGGTTCAGACTCCAGAGGGCAGGACCTGTATCCTACACCGGTGCATCTGTGGAGGCTGAGGGCTGTTTGGCCTCCCCCTGCCCTATCTTACCGGTTTCCATGATCGCTCCTGGTGTTTTTAGACAACATCCCTGCCACACCCAGCTCTCCTCTCGCACCCCTCCCCTCGCCCCTGACTGAGTGCGTCTGCCCACGCTATCTTCTGTTAAAACCTCTTCAGCAACTCCGGCCGAATGGCACTCACCGTGCGTGCAGTGAAACCACCGTTCCGCGGTGCACGGCGGCCGCAGGCCCGTCTCCCGGCCTTCTGGGGGGCCCCTTTGAGGCTGTACCCTCACTCTGAAGTCTTGGGTTAGCTGGCCACGAAGAACTGTCCATGGTGCTGCTCTCTCTGCCAGCCAGTCACCCGCTCTGCACACCTCGAGGTCTCAAGAAGAGCCGACTGTTGCTTGGGTCCCCAACTCCTTTTCTAAGGGCTTCCTGGCCCCTGCGGGGTTGTTTCCTCTGCTGCCCCCCTAGCCTTCTTGGAGGACTTAGGGCTTCTCTGGGGTGAGGTGTGGCAAACACAATCCCAGTGTCACCACAAACGGAGAGAGACTCGCAAGGAACTCCTTGGGCTGGGTCGAGTGACCGAGGACGCTGAGCTGGGAGAGGGGACGCTGATGCAGACGGCGGTTGCCCAGGAGGGAGGCTGCAGCTTTCTAATGCTACGGAGCCAGGCCTCCAGGGCTTGTGCCTGGCAGCAGGGGTGCACAGCCAGGCCA